CATAATTCCCCTCTCTGTGGCTGGCTCTGGTGATTTGGACACTGTTTTCCAGCCCCGTGAGGGAACTGGGCTGGAGAGTGTTCTACAGAACCCCAGCCAGGCCCGGGTCCCACCTCTCACCTGTCCCATAGGTGAGGAGCCTGATTGCAAGGATATCATTGCCAGGCTGCAGTATGTCAAAGTGGGAAGCTGTAAGTCCGAAGAGGAAGTGGACATTCATTACTGCCAGGTAAGGGCCCCTGACTTCGATGAGGCCTACATGGGGAGGGGAGTCTCCTTGTTTGGTAGATATCTCCTTAGTTACATTTCAGAAGGATCTGAAAAATTCACAGGGAGGAGAACTGAAAAGAACTGTAAGCATTTATATATATATATATATATATTTGTATTAATTTCAGAGAGGAGGGGAGAAGGAAAGAGAAATAGAAACATCAATGGTGAGAGATAATCATTGATTGGCTACCTCCTGCACACCCCTACTGGGGATCGAGCCCACAACCTGGACATGTGCCCTGACCAGAATTGAACCGTGACCTCCTGGTTAATAGGTCGATGCTCAACTACTGAGCCATGCTGGCTGGGTAGAATTGGAAGCATTTTATGTGAAATCAAATGTTTTATTGAAGTAACTGGGAACTTTGACCCCAGAGGGAAGATTCAACAAGTCCTTCAAAGAGAATGGAGAGTTATTTATGGAAGTGGGGGTGGGGGTGTTGTATTAAACATGCATAAAAATTGCAGCTAGAGCAGTGGTTCTCAACCTTCCTAATGCTGCGACCCTTTAATACAGTTCCTCATGTTGTGGTGACCCCCAATTTCATTATTACAAATTGAACATAATTAAACCATAGTGTAATCATAAAAACAATATGTAATTATATATGTGTTTTCTGATGGTCTTAGGCGACCCCTGTGAAAGGGTCGTTCGACCCCCAAAGGGGTCGCGACCCACAGGTTGAGAACCACTGAGCTAGCGGGATCTGGGTGTGATGGCACCATAAGGACAGAAGGCATTTCAGACTTCCCTGAGACCTACCTTTACAAATTGCCCCACTGTCCTGGGTTTCCTGGGGGAGGCCAGGCCTGCCTTACTTGGAGGAGGGCAGGTAGGGGAAACAGGCTGCTTCTAAGTTATGCATACTCCCGGCTTCTCCACCATCACCATGCCCTGTCCCTCTCTGTCCCACTTCAGGGTAAATGTGCCAGCAAAGCACTATACTCCATCGAAACGGAGGATGTGCAGGACCAGTGCTCCTGCTGCTCCCCGACGCGGACAGAGCCCATGCAGGTGCCCCTGCGCTGCACCAACGGCTCCATCGTCTACCATGAGGTCCTCAATGCCATGCAGTGCAGGTGCTCCCCCAGGAAGTGCAGCAAGTGAGGCCCCTGCCATGGACACCCAATGCCGCCTGCCTTGCCAACCGGCCAGAGTGCTGCCCGGTCCTCTGTATCCTCTGCTCTCATGCCCTCCCGGGCCCACAATAAAGGCCAATCTCTCATCTTGCAAAAGGCTAATGCAATGGTTTACTGTGTCCTCCCAGGCGATCTGACAACTGTAGGCTGAGGTAGTTCAGAGACTGGTTCTGAAGGAGGAAACTCAGGTCCACCTGCAAACACTGCAGCCCCAGAGTCTGTGGGAGGCACTGCCAACCTGGAAAAAAGTGGTGCCTTTGCCTCCATGCAGTGCAGAGAGGAGAGAAGAGTGTGGGGCGGGCCTCCTCATACACTCAGCCCAATGGCTTGAAGTAAAAAGGATTTGCTCAGGAACACTGAGTTCTCCAGTCTCTGAATCCAGGGGCTTTGAGCAGGGCAGAGGGGTGGGCCCTGGAGCCACACTCCTGCTAAGATAGACATGGCTATCGCCAGCGTGGCTGGCATTCTAGAGAAGAGGTGTGGCCAGGTGTGCAGGGGTTTCTCTGAGCCCTTAGCTAAGTTCCTGTGTCTCCTCTGTGGCACCTGTGGAAGGAAGAGGTGCTGAGACTGAGGGGGTTGCAGATGGGGTGCTGGCAGGTACTGGAACATGTTACCATCAGGTCACCATGGGTGGTGAGCACCAGACTTGGGGGCAGACCTGGTTTCCACATAAGGCCTCTACTCTTCAGTGTGGCTTCAACTAAGCCCGTTAGTGGTTCTCAGATGTAGTTTCCTCATCTGGAAAACAGGAATGTGAGTCTTACTTGTAGGGTTGGAAGGATAAAATAAACTGGAAAGTCTGGGATAACTGTAATCACTTTATAATAATATGAGAAGGGACAAGAATAAAAATAGTGACATCAAGGCTCAAAAGGGGAAGTGTCTCTACCACCAGTGTCAGAGCACAGGGCATTTTCCTTGTTCTGAGGGGTGAGGAGCTGGGCTTCTTTCAGGCCGCATACTGGATGCCAAAGCTCTGCCTGCTCCAGGCATCCTCTTGGAAGGAAAAGAGGTGCAGATAACACCGAACTTCACCAGTCCCAGATCCCTAAGTGATATGGTCTTTCCTTAAAATGTATGAGAAAAGTGTACATGTATATGCTGGCAAGATGATGGAATCTGGTGAGTATTTTCTCCCTGAGAACAAAGGGAAGGTCTAGATTTGCGACAGGAATTTGATGGAGAATTGATCTTCCTTCCAGATCCTTTTAACCCAAGAGAGACTCAACTCATTGAAAGAATGATGGAGCTGGAAAGGATTTAGACATCATCTAACCCGCTGCCTCTCCTCTGCCCTTTTACTGAGGTTGAAAGCAGCTAGAAGAACTCTAGTGACTTGCCGAAGGTCACACAGCTCCTGGGTGGCCGGGCCAGCTCAGAACTCAGGTTCCTTAACCTGTAGGCCAGAACTCCAGGGCGGTCCACCAGAGCCACCCCATCCTGCTACTTACAGATTCAGCCCTTGCTATCGTGGGAACCAGGGACTGCTGCATTTCTAGGTCTCAACCATTTCCATTACTTCTGGGGACCAACCTCAAGGGACTATACACTACAAGCAAATGGCACAGATTGTGTTAAATAGGTTTAGTGGGGGAGTTTAGTAGGGTAGAGGGAAGGAAGAATGGATAGAAGTTTTATATAACTGTTCAATAATTCAAAGGTTGTCATCTCTCCATTCATCATCCTGCCTCCAACGCTGAGCAGCCTCTAAGGTCTCTTTAGGAAACCAGATCCAGTGCAAGGCATCGCCTGTCTCTCTCCTGACTGATCGCCTAACACTGCACCTGAGGATGAGGTGTTATTGGAGGCATCAGCCTCTACAGAGAAACTCAGCAGAGAAGCTGCCTCTTTAGCATAAGGTGTCAATTTCCCAACTTCCTGACTCGTCATGGCCTGAATTTCTCCTCCTACTAACTGATATGACATTTCATGTTCAATAAAAAAAAAAAAATAAACTGAATCAGAAAGGCTGCATGTTTTGATTTAAGAAAAAAAGGGAGCAGGGTAGAAAGGATGCAGAAAGGGAAACTGGTGGAGGTAGTGGGGGTGTCACACAACCTCTCTTACTCTGCAAGTCACCCAAGGGGAGGGTCTGCCTCTGGTCTCAGGGACTTTGTTTTTTGCTCATCCTCAGACCAGAGGAGACAGTCCCTCCAAGTCAGAGTCTTAGGGGGAGTGTCAAGGAGGGAGTGTACAGAGACTAGGGGGTAAGAAAGTGCTGGAGGGAGAGAAGAAAGAGAATGGATAAAGGAACGATGGTGGAAAGTTTCCCACTTGTCTTGGTGTTGAAAAGACATGGAGAAGGTCCCTGGAAGCGAATGGGGAGGGGGCATTGTCTGGGAGAGAAAGAAACTGAATGGCAAAAGTGTTTTGAGCACAGACTCTGGAGCAGGCTGCCTACTTTGGGATCTCACATACCCTTACAGGTAAGTTGCTTGATTCTTTTTTTTACACCTCAGTCTCTCATCCACAAGATGGGTATACTAGCAGTAATTACCTCATAGAATTGTCGTTGGAAGGAAATAGTTACTACTGTGGGTTAAAGGGTGCCTGAGGAAGAGGAAGTCCTGTATAATAAACATGAGCCAGGATTACTCCTAGTGAGCAGAATAAAGCTCAGGATTGGGACCTAAATCTTCTGGTTTTCCCTCTGCTCTGCCCCTGGCTCATGCTGCGTGGTCTGCTCCCCTTTACTGCTACAGGCTCCTCATATAGAGTGGGGAGATAACATTCTTCACATTGAAAGGTCATGGTCATAAATAGCACACTTGATTTCAACATCCTACTTTTTCATTTTCCGGGCCCTATGTATAAAGGAACTTGTTTAGCTCCAGGGCATCTTGGAATTGTTCTGGAATTCCATCATCCAGAACAGACTTTCTGAAGCCTTTTCTTCAACCCTTTGCCCATGGCCAGGTGCCTAACTCTTCCAGAGAGATGGCAGTCCTCTGGTTCTTTGGTTCCAGGCTTCCACAGGTTCCCTCCTCAACCCTGTCCCAGGGCCTCATGGGGAAGCTCTTCTACAACCTGCAGCCCCTCTTCCTGTCCTACCTGTCCCTTGTGTACCTAGTCCTTGACTCCTGCCCCTTTTAGCCAAGAAAAAAGGTGGGGACAGCTGGTGGTGGGTCGAGTGAAGGAAGGTGTGCGGGGAGGCGCCCCCTCCTACCCCACCCCACCCCGGGCATTTCCCAGGACTGGGCTGCAGGAAGGAGGCTTTGCGGGTGGGATTGGAAACTAATCAACCAGACGGTTCACCAGATAATCCGGCTGAATATTCACACCCAGCCCAGGTTATGAGGCACCTCCCCCTGGCCGAGGAGCGCGGGCAGCACTTACTGTCTCGCCCCTCAGCTCCATTAACCAGGTGTCCCAAACGCCACCCTACCGCGGACGAGCGCTCTTCCCCACGTGGCACTGCGGTCGCTCCTGCGCTCAGGGCTCAGCGGGAGACCCCGCTCTGCCTCCGGTGGCGCCTGCCCGGTGGCCTGGGGAGGGATTGGGGAGGAGCAGGCGGCAACAGGCAAGGGGCGGGCACGTCCAGACCCAGCTGAGCCGAGATGGAATTAGCCTCCAGCGGAATAAGCCTGTCCAGCCGCGAGTGCAGCAGCGGGGCAGTCCGTGTTCGGCGTCCTGTGTGCCAGCACCATGGCCACCCCTGGACTGCAAGGTGAGTCTTCCCTGTTGGGGACCCAGGTCCTGGGCAAGCTGTAGGAGGGAGAGAGGCTGGGGTGAAGGAGACGCATCCTAACGCCTGCCCTTCTGGATCGGTGACCTCAAGTGAACCTGGAGAGAGGGTGGTGAGGGGAGCTGATCCCTTTCCCCGTCGAGCAAGTTCTATGGAGGAGAGAAAATGTAGGACAAGAGGCAGAGGACTGGAACAGGGGCTTTTTGGGTGATGGACTACCGATACCTATCTCAGCGAGTTTGCCTTTCCTTGTTACAAGTTGTTGGATGTTAGTGTTGAGAGTAGGCAACCAACTCGCAGAGTTTAATTCAGAAACAGTGCGGCGGACACTGTTAGGATTCACCCCTAACAATTTTGACTTCGGCATCCCTGGCGTGCCCCTCCAGTTTCAGGAAGTCTCCTCCAGCCCTTAACCAACCTGCCCTCAGGAAGGGCATTTTCGACTCAGGGTGCAGGGAAACCCAGGCACTTCTTTCCTGGTGGTTTTTCTTAGAAGTAAAGCAAATTAAGATTGAGTTTGGGGGAGGAGGGCATTATCTGCCTCGCCTCCCAAATTATCCTGAGCAGACAGGTGTGCCAGGGCAGGAGTGATCTGGCCTGGACAGGAATTTTGTTGAGTGCCTTGTTTCTGGTGGTTCTTGAGAGAGGCGCAAAGTGGGGAGGTGCCCATTCTGTTGGCATGAACAGTAAGCCGAAGGGACTGGAAGGTGGTGCCACTCATAGTCCTTTGTGACAGGTATGGAGAGATACCTCCAGGAACCATGCGGACCCTGGTCCAGGACAGAGGTCCCATTGAGCAAAGTTAGTTCTAAATCAAAGGCAAGTGGCAGGTGGAGGGAAAAAAATCTTAGACAAGGTTGAGGCCCTCCCAGAGGACTGTGATACCCTATGTTCTTCTACTTGCCTGGACTGTGTTCTTGGAACCAGACATCAGAGCTCTTGCCCAGCTGCCTGTTCCCCTCCCCAGCTGCTGACGGGAGTGCCCATTTGCTCCTCACACTGTGTCTTGCCATGTGCCCATCATTTTGGGAGCCAAGTACCCAATATGGCCCTTTCCAGCAACCTCCTATACTCTCTGAATTGCCTCTATGTGGCAACCTGTGCCATTTTGCTGGCTGATTGAAGAGGCTGTGTAAGTGGTGTGGCGGGTTCCAAACACCAACCTCAGGTTCTGGTCCAGTTTCCATGCGTACCTTCTCTGCCAACTTCCATTGTGGGGTAAGGCTAGAGGGCCAGAGGCATTGGGGTCTAAAGTGGAGCTTGTCTATCCTTTTCTCTAAGGAGTCTGCCTGAATGCCCAATACTGTGCTCAAGAAAGGCACGCACCTGCCTATCTAGACGTTCTCCATTCTTGGTACTCTAAGATGATAACGCTTTAGCAGCCGCATGCACTATTGATGGATATAGGAAGGAGGAGGTGGAGTCAAGCATGGACTTGTTCGGATCACAGCAATGCAATTAGCCCTGTCCACCCTTCTGGTATTTTAAGATGCACTAGAAGTCTTTCTTTGGCTCCTACTGACAACCTCGCAATTCCTCCAGAAACTTTAAGAAAATAATTTATTTCTCTCTGGCTGGCAACTCTCCATCTAAGTTAACTTCTGCTGAAATTGCTCAAGGATGGCAGTGCCCAGATAGCTGGTGTCAGATCCTCTTTCTATTTAGCAAACATGAGAATAAAGCACACTACCATAAATCTTTGGGCTTGCTCACTGACAAAGGAATAAATCCCACTTTTTCTGATGCCTGTTATTCATAAGCAAATTAAAATTAGCTTTACAAAAAATAAAAATACACGTTCATGGTGAGGAAAATTAAATACAAATACATAAAATAAAAAAGTTACCTGTTTTCAATATTTTGGTAATTATTATTTTCCCTAATTGCTTTTTTAATCCATTATGATTTTTGACTATATCAGATAAATATTTTTATTTATTATTTATTAGTCATCAAACATTTTGTAAGAAGGGAAAACTCAGATATAATAAAACTTAAAACAAGGAAAAATGAACAATTGTCAAATAATGAAGGATTGGGAGCATATTATTATATCACAAGACCTAGACTAAGAATAGGTACTGTAATGGAGTAAAAATTTATCTATGAGCTCCCTGACAGGCAGGTCAGAGAAGAGACAATAAGTTACATGGATCTCATTGTCTAATAAAAGGAGACTAGTTAATCAACATTAAGTTTTAAGAAGAATGTCACAGTGATATTTGTGATATTTATGTAAGACATTGCCCAACATAATGAGCTATAGTTTTATTAATAGGTTTTTAGAAAGTATATTATTTATCACATGGGCATTTATTATATTGTATCTGATTTTGTTTTAAAAGGGTTTTTTCTGTTGTATCCTTTTCTGGTTCACTCTACCCTATTATATTTTTTAAAATGCTGTTTGCAAACCATTAGATAACCAATTAATGAGTTAAACCTCTAATTTGAGAAGTAGTGGCTTGCAGCATATAGGAAACTCAATGGCTAATAGTCCTTTCGAACTGTTGGCTCTCAATCTCTTTTTCCTCCCCTATGTGAGAAAGGGATACAAAACACTCCCATCAGGATCAGTTCTTATTCAAATTTCCCTGTTATCATTTCTCTTTAGCTCGAAGAATGCCCTTCAGTATTTCTTGCAGTGTTCTGCTGCTACCAGATTCTCTCAGCTTCTGTTTTGGTGAAAAATGTCTGTATTTCACCCTCACTTTTGAATGATAATTTCATTGGATGGATGCAGAATAATGGGTTGATAGTTATTTTTATCCTTTTAGCATTCTAGGTGTCACTTTATTGGTCTTTATTTTCTGACGAGGTCAGTCTTAATTCATATTTTTATTATATTCATTCTTTTGTCCATGTATAATACCATTTTAATCTGGTAGCTTTCAAGATTTTATTTTTGGTTTTGAGCAGTGAAACTATTCTGTATGTATCTAGCTGTGAATTTTCTTTGTATTTTTTCTTGCTCAATTTTGCTGACCTTCTTGAATCTGGAAGTTAATGTATTTTATCAAACTTGGGGATGATTTCAGCCGCTGTTTCTCCCATTATTTTCCTGCTCTATTTTCATTCTCTTCTATTTCTGGAACACCAATTACATATACGTTAGACTGTTTGACATTGTCCCATTGGTTCCTGAGGCTCTGTTAATTATTTTTTCAATCTTTAGTTCTCTATTCTCTAGATTAGATAATTTCTATTCACCTATCTTTTACTTCATTGATCCTTTATCTACCTTCTCCAGTTGCTGTTAAGCTCATTCAATGAATTTTTCTTTTTACTTATTGTAATTTTCAGTTCTAGGAATTTCATTTAAAAAAATAACAGGTTTATTGAGATATAATCACATCCATAAAATTCACCCTTTAAAAGTGTACAGTTCAGTGATTTTTAGTATATTTACAGAGATGTACAACCACTATCTAATTTTAGACCACTTTCATCATCCCCCAAAGAAACCTCATACTCACTGGCAGTCATTCACCTTCCCCCCTCTAACTCCTGGCAACCGCTAAGCTACTTTCTGTTTCCATGGATTTGCCTAACCTGGACACTTTATATAAATGGTGTTTGTGTCTGGGTTCTTTCACTTAGAATAATGTTTTCAATGTTTAGCCATATTATAACATGTATATGTTCTTCATTTCTTTTTATAGTTGAATAATACTCCCTTGTGTGGATATACCACATTTGTTTATCATTTGAATTTTCACTTTTTGCTACTATAAATACCGTTCAAGTACAAGGTTTTGTGTGTACGTATGTTTTTATTTCTTTTGGGTATATACTTAGAAATGGAATGGCTGAATCATATGGAAACTCTGTGTTTAACTTTTTCAGGAACTGCCAGACTATTTTCTAAATTTCTGTACCATTTTACATTCCTACTAGCAATATATGAGGATTCTAATTTCTCCACATTTTCACTGACACTTGTTATTGCTCTTTAAAAAAAATCCTTATCCAAGGATATTTTTTCCATTAATTTTTTTAAAAAGAGAGAGTGGAAGGGAAAGAAGGGAGAGGAAGGGAGGGAGAGAGAGGGAAGGAGGGATATATATAT